AGCCCAAGAGTTTGAGGTTGTTGTGAGCTGTGAAGCCACAGCCCTCTGCTGAGGGTAGCATAGTTAGACTCTATCTCACAAAAACAAAACAAAAAAATCCACAATTCATCTTGAGGCATATTCCCTCCAGCTGTGAGGCTGTGGAATCAAAACAACTTATCTACTTCCAAAACACAATGGAGGGGCAAGCTTAAAATGGACTTTCTTATCCAAAAGGGAGAAATTGGCAAGACAAAAGGCATAAGGGGTCCAAAGTAAGTCCAAAACCCAACAGAGAAAAATAACATTAACTCTTTTTTTTTCTTTTCTTTTTTATTGAAAGCTAACTATGTACATTAATGCACTTCTGGGGTACAGTGTGGGGTTTTCACACACAATCTGAAACACTTCCATCAAACTGGTTAACATAGCCTTCGTGTCATTTTCTTAGTTATTGTGTTAAAATGTTCATATTCTACTCTTAGAAAGATTCACTTGTTCTTCTTTTTTTTTTTTTAAGAGAGTCTCATTTTGTCACCCTCGGTAAAGTGCTGTGGCATCGCAGCTCACAGCAACCTCCAGGTCTTGGGCCATTCTCTTGCCTCAGTCTCCTGAGCAGCTGGAACTATAGGTGCCTGCCACAACACCCGGCTATTTGTTGTTGTTGTTGTTGTTGTTGTTGCAGTTTGGCCGGGGCAGGTTCGAACGTGCCACTCTCAGTATATGGGGCCAGCGCCATGCCCACTGAGCCTCAGGTTCTGCCCTTGTCTTTTTCCTTTGTTTGAGACAGTCTCATTTTGTCACCCTTGGTAGAGTGCTGTGGCATCACAGCTCACAGCAACCTCAAACTCTTAGGCTCACGTGATCCTCTTGCCTTAGTCTCCTGAGTAGCTGGAACTACAGGCCCCTACCACCATGCCTAGCTAGTTTTTCTTTTTTTAGTAGAGCCAGGGTCTTGCTCAGGCAGGTCTTAAACTCCTGAACTCAGCTGATCCTCCTGCCTAAGCCTCCTAAGATGCTAGGACTTCAGGCAAGAGCCACAGCGCCCAGCCTAGAAGATGACAATACTGAGCAAGAGGCTGACTCCACATCTCCTGCTGGAAGGCACGTGATATGCGGGCACACAGCACAGTGAGTAGCCCTTGCCCCACTGTTTGCACTGAGCATCCCCTTCTACCCTTTTTGGTCTGAGACTACACTGTCCACTGCAGGGACCCGCACTCACACTGGAGCATGAACCGAGGGAATCCGGAATCTGCACAGGAGAACAAAGTCTGCTGATAAATACTCTTGGCTTGCTGCTACACAGCCTTTGAAACAGTATATTAAATGGGGCGTCCACCTGGAATTGCAATTTAGGATTTATTTTTCCTCTCCTCCATGCAACAGCATGAAAGAGATGAGTTCTGAACTGGCAGCTTCTCTTTCATTTGCCATTATGTTTTACACACAAGGAAATTTGAACGTCTGAAGATGGGGGGTGATGATAAGAATAGAGTTACATGTGTTCCTCTGGCAGGCCAAGTCACCGGCACTTAAATTCACTTCTGACAGTTCTCAGCATCTAACAGGCCTGGAAGTACTAAACTGTCATCTGCCTATCCATGAGAGATTTCACTTTGGCAGGGTTTCAAAAGTAAAAATCGCTTGCTTTTTTAATGCATATTTTTGCCACCACGATATTTCTCTAAGCCATGTAAAATCCTGTACTCTCCAGGGACAGATGCAAAGAGGTTTGTGCTATAGAGCGTTCTTAAAAGGAAAATTTGCCCTTGTTCCTGAACCTAGAAGTCCTGTGCAGGAATCTAGGATGAGGGCACACTGGGTGATAGTTCCCTCCAAGGGTTTGAGCTTGGTGATTACAAATGGTGCTTGAATTTGATGATTTCTAAACTACTTAATGGTTAAAAACCAATGGGCCGGTGAAGACAGGGAAGATGATTCCCTTATGTAACAGTTGGTGCCCCTCAGCAAAGCTGCGTTCTAGCGCTTTCTGACATCAGACATGGAGACAGCCATGCAGGGGCCGTGAATGGAAGATCTCACCTGGTATCAGGGAGAGAGCAACATTCAGAACTGACTCTCATCTACGTCTGCCACCATCCCACAAAGCAACCCCGCAAGGACCCTCACATTCCCTGAGTGCACATTCCCTGAGTGCTTAGATCACGATCACGTTTAAAGTGAAAAGATAGCCTGGTGGTTAAGAGGGAGTCCTGGAGAGATAATCTCAGCCCTCTAGTTTCCAAGAACCCCGGATAAATGACTTACCTTCTTTGGCCTCTCTGTCCTGAGCTGTATAATAGAGATAATTACAGCACCTACCCCAAAAGATGGCTTTGAGAATTAAACCAGAAAACACACGCAAAATACTCTCAATGTGTGGCCATATCGGCCCTCAATAGATGAGTGGCTGCTTCTGCTATTGGTAATGCTATCGTGGCCTCCCAAACAGGCAGGATGTTAGGTTGAGGAGTCAGCCATTGGTAATAAAACACTGCTGCTGGCTGCCAACTGAGATAATGGCTTGTGTGATGTTACCTTGGTTTCCCATGGCCACCACTCTCCTCCCAGAAACCAGAAGAATGCCTGACGCTTTGAAGACACCCATTAAATGTGTTAAGTGAGAGAAAAAGCAGATAAATGGATAAACGAATGACAAAGGAGTAACAGAACAAACATCTTGATAGCTGCTGTTGCACCTTGACATGAGGCTCTCTCATAGCTGTGGCAAGGGATGGGATCTACTAGTCAACTGCAAAGGACACCCAGGAGGGCTCACTAGGATCTGCTAGCTGGCCAGGGGATATCACATAACTGCTCCTACCAGTGGTTCTGCACTTAGGGGATGGTACTAAAGCTCACAACAGTCCGACCTCCTGCCTAGACCTAAAGGACATAGGCCACCTGTTTACTCTGGAAATAGCCTTAAAGAGCACACACTTTAACAGTCCCGAAAGCAGAGTTCATAACTAATGGCAACCTAAGAAGAAATGGAAATTAGACGGTTTGTGGGGAAGACTCCACGCAGTCCTATCTGGATGTTTGGTTTCAGACTCTCCCCTCCCACATTCTTCATCTGCTTAGAGAATTGCACAACTACTGTCCCCAACAGAGCCTGACCCAAAAGACAGCTTTTCCTTTATCAGAGTTCTCCTAATGCAATGGCTCTGGTGCCGGTCACATCATTACCTTATCCTTGCCACCACCTGTGCTACTATTAAACTTAATCCTCAAGTTTGAACCAACTCACTGACGAAAAGTAAATGAAGTTATTTATTAATGAAATTTAAACGAGTACGTGAAATGAGGGACCAGGATTGCTGGCCCTACATAGGAGTAAAAATAAATAGTTGGAAACAAATACCAAATTCCAACCTAGCTAGCCACGATCACTTTCCTTAGTTCAGAGTTTGAGCACCCCGGTCCCCTACACCCCGTCCCTCCTTGGGGCCAATCTCTGTCTGTCTCTCTCTTCTCCCAGAAAGAGGCTTTCTCCTTTAGAAATTATAAAATATCCAAAAATAATTTTTTAAAAAGTTTTTCACTAAGTGAGTCCATGCTTTTGAAGTCACATCCATGCAAGACGTGAGATCACCACAGTCTTTAAGAACACGCTCGAATCCTCTGCCTCCCTGTTGTGTTGAATAACTGAGCTTCCTTATTTCTGAATGCAATTAAAATATACTTCTCCTCGACTCTGAGATGTACTTCAGAAATGTCTGTATTCAGGATGTGTCTGGTAATTACCTGGCTTTTATTAGCCACTCTTACTGGTGCTTTCAATAGTGTCTTTTTTTTTTTTCATCTGGGAAGCTGTTATTAGATTGATGACACATCTCATAATGAGGGCGACTAAGGGTCAAGAAAATATGGTTCACCTCAACAGGGCCAATATAAATGAGCCCCCTGTTTGGGCGCCAAGACAACACAACAGGCTGGCGTTCTCCCAGTTGTGTTCATCTGATAAAGACATTACAATAGCAAGGAATTATGATCTATGACCCTCCGCTGGAACACTCACACATTCTTGGCCTTGAACGCTTCAGCAAAATGCTGCACGCTACGGAGCAGAGCGAGGTCCAGGGTCATTGCTTCTACCTTGGCTTTATGCTGGAACGAAAGAAAATAAAAAGAAATGATAAATAACAGCAAGTTTAGTTCATGGTATCGAGTTACAGTAAATGTGTTATGGAACATGTCGGAATTCCCCTGTTTAATATTAGACGCCCAGAGAGAATATAAATCATGGGAATGAATGGAAGAACAAGGCTTTTACTGCCAATTTCAGGGAGGATGTGAGGCTGGGATTCTGCTAAACCTACAGGCTGGGGGGCTGGACTGTGTTTCCCTCAGCACACAGAAGAGGCACCGAAGGGTCTCTGAGATAACATTATCCCCTCCGCTCCATGTGCATCCTAAAAAGCTGTAACAACCAGGACAAAGTGTGGCTCACACAAAGATGAAGTGGACAATGTGTTCATCTCAACAGCTGCCATCTAATTCTGAAGCGTTTCCACTAAGACTGCATAAAAAATTAAAGGCAGTTCATTTATAGAAAGTTCAAAAGCAAGCAAGACTCATTTCTAACCATGGACGCTAAAGGACCTAGTTCCCAAAGAGAAACCTGGCTTAACAACCCAGAAAAGTCTACAGACAGGTGGGGAACATACTGATAAAATAGCAATCATCATACTGTTAATAATGGCTCCTGTACATTCAGAGCCCATCATAGGCTGGGCACTTACAGATACCATCTCAGTTAATGGTCGCAATGTGTTAAGTGAGAGAAAAAGCAGATAAATGGATAAATGAATGACAAAGGAATAGGCAATTTTCTTCTTAGATCTTATGAGAGACCACAGATCTAAGAAGCTGGGAGCAAGAAATAGACCCAAGTTGGTCTGATACCAAAGCCCAAATTCCCTCCAGGAAAGAAACCGGAAAACAGGAGGTCAGAATTTGAAGAAATCATGTTCCAGGGGAAGGAAAGATCTCAGGGCGGTCCTTCCACTGGTCCCGTGCCTGTAGGGCACTCCCAACTTGGGAGTGTGAGATTAAATGCTATCATTTCTTGGACCTCACTCCTCCAAAGGACATAAAGTAAGAATGCTGGGGCCGCCAGCCCATTCAGGTAAGAAGAGTCCCATAAAACAAACAGTTGACTTGGGAATTCTAGTCTAGACTGCGATGCTTATGGAAGACTAGGGAGAAATAACGTGATACCATTGGGATGCTGTGAAGGGGGTCGCAGAGGGCACTGCTGAGAACACCCCACCCCCTGACTGTCTCGTTCAGGAAAGGGCGGGAGCTCTGCTCAGAGGCTCAGTGTCTCTGTGGTTGGTTTATCTTGGCCGCCTAAGTCCTGGGCTCTCACCCACATCCTTAGCTTTGAACGCCAAACATCAGGCAGTGGCTTCTGAAAAGGCCACTTAACACTTCTGAACCTTGGTCTTCCCATTTGGAGAAGGTGGGTATTAAGTAACGATCTACTCATAGGGATGTGAGGATGGGTATCAAGCACCTAATATCCTGTCTGGAGGAGAGAAAGGATTTAATAAATTTAACTAGAAGATCCAAAGATGTTTACTAGGCCAAATTCTTGCTCTGATGGCACTTGGTAGCCTCTGGGGGCTATAGTGCCACCTGGTGGAGGAAGCAACGTTAATGATGTTCAGAGGTCCTCCCTGAAGACTACCAGGGTCGGGTCACTGACTGTTCCATCCTGGAGAATCCAGGCCTTTCCTACCAACAAAGCCTAGTTTTAAGAAAAAGTGGCAAGAAGGGATTAAATTATTTCCTCAAACCCTGACAGCCTGCCAGTGGCAAAGGCAATATTGGCCGAGGTAGATTCCGAATCCTAGTTCTGGATAACAATGGCAGATGTTCTAATCTGCAGACTTTAGAAGGATGAGGAGGAGCACTGACTTGATCTAGGAAAAGGACAACGTGCCAGTGTCCATTCTGTACATTTCCTAAGATCAGGAAGTAACAGGGCTACGGGGAGGGGGGGTCCTTAGCAAGGTGAGGTCAAACCTTTCATCCTATCGGAAGAAAATTACCAACAGAAGTGAGCTCACTGGGCACTGAGTGAGGAGACGCCATGTGGGGAGCCGCAGAACCCCGCAGGTGCAGGGTCAGAGTAACTGATACTGATCTGACAGTTCAACATCTCTTCGGCGCACAGAACTTGTCAACTCCCTACAGAGATTTTCATGCCTCACAAACATTTAACTACTTAATTCGATATTCAGAATTAGCAAATAAAGTGGCCTTCCACCCTCGATCTGCCTCCTCTTGTCCCCACCTCACTCCACTTGAACATGACACTCACTGCTAAACAGAGAATCTCACAGCACTGTGAACGCATCACAAGACGAAGAGGTGGGGAAGAGATGGTTCCTCTCAGCCAAGCGCCCAGTGCAAACCCTCAGGGACCTGCAGGCTGCCTATTACAAAAATGCTTGTACCTATCCTCCCCCCATAAAACAGGGAGCACATTCCCAGATGGTGACCCCAAAGCAACATTTCAACAAAACTAACAGCACGGCCAAGGAGCCCGTCCATCCTTCTATGCATTTCACTTGAAATTGGTATGTTTTCCTTTGCTTCTCCCCCTTCACTTCAAAATAAAGCACAGAGCTGCCACTGCCAATAAGAGCAAAATCAGAACATACGCCTCTAAGGGGACACGGGGTCACAAGCCATCAAGTAGTTCAACAGACTAATCCATGAGCCGTGGGTTACTAGGCTCCTGGGGACAGTGATTCAAGTCCACATGCTATCATTCAGGTAATTCTCCTGCCCTGGGTATCGGGTTTCCTGTTCCTCCCCCTGACCCTTAGAACTGCTTAAAAACTATATGCAATGCAGTAAGTCCAGGGAGGGAAAATGCAGCTTCCAGAATGAGGGTGTGTGTCAGTATTTATGTGAGTGCAATTGTCTAACAAACCTCACAGCTTTACAGAAATGTCTGTAGGGGGACAGAGCAGCTGACAGATTGCAAACAGCACCCACTGTTGAGGGGTAAACTGTTGACTGTCGGGTGAGGACGAGACCCAATGTCAACGTGAGACTTCCTCCCACATCTGGCCATGAATTTACAACTCACTTGTAATTTGTTTTCTTGGTTTAACGCATGAGCTTTCTGCTGTTGTTAAGTTTTATTTGTGACTTATTATAGATGCACAAGAAATGGCCCAAATGGGGCAGAGAACATTCACAGACCCAGCATCTGGCTTCCCCTGTGTTGACATCTCAAGTATGGATAGCACATGGGTAAAACCCAAAAATCAACATGGGTACAACACAACTTAGGAGACCACAGTCATTACGATGATGAGATTTCAGCAGTTTGGGGATACATTCATTTTCTTACCTTTGTTTAGTGTATCTTTGTGCATAATTTTATGACATTTTATCATGTGCAAGGATCTGTATAACTATGGCCACATTTCAGACACAGAACTCTTCTATCCTGGCCAAGGAAACCATGATGTTCATTAAGAGGTGTCAGACTTACCACCTGCTACCTAGAACATGAAAAGTTCAGGCCTTATTTGGCCACAGCCTGATGTCTGGATTGGCAAAACAAACAAAAAACCTTCTGTCCTTCAGAAGGGCCAGGAAGATTTGGTCAAAATTCCTAAAGCCAGGCTTACAAGATCCTCTGTGTGAATCAAGACATGCTTCAGTAAGAAACACTCCCCAAATCTCTATATCTTAAAACAACCAGGATGATCACTCACTCACAACTCACATCCATCCCAGGTTGGTGGTCCTGGGCTAAAATAAGCTGTTGGCCTTCTGTAGATCCTTCCTTCTCTTCCTTTGTATCCATCTCCTCACCTGCCACCTGACTTGCCAACCATCCATCCACCTGCTAACCTTTGTTTAACAGAAAGAGGTTCAAGAGGTCCTAGGTGAAGGACACAACTACAACTCAGACTTTGGACTTTACATTACAAATGTTAAAAATGTAACCTAATTATTTGTACCCTCCTATAAATTCAAAATTAAAAAAAAAAAGGCTCAGACTGAGAAGACTGAATCTTGAAATGTTATAAAATGCCTGTTTTACGTTTCCGTGCCCCCAATTCTCATTCTTTCCTCTAATCACAAACATCATCTCAAGAAAAACAGCAATGGTAATTTGTTTTAAATTACATAAATTGACACCTACTACCCATCATTTTAAAACAGAAACCCCACTGGTGGCATCCTACGCGTGAAGCATCAGATAACTTCTAAGTAGCTGAGAAACCCACCCTGCTCAGCCAGAAAGACATATGAATAATTAAGCAAGCTACGTACTCTTATTCTATTGCCCGGGGACGCCAAGGTGCTCACCGGTGGTGGCACAGTTCACTGGCACCTTCAACACACTGAATCTTCCTGATCTTTTCTTTATTGAGTTCTACAACCTGTCTCACTGATTCAAGAGTTTGCAAATATGGAATCAAAGGGCTTGCGTGTTGTTACACAGTCGTGATCCATCGCATCATTTTATGACTATAAATTAGCCAAGTGCGACTCAGATGGGATACCGCCTGAAATCAAAGGAACCATATGGGGAGTGTGCAGTATTTAAACAGAGAAATGGAGAGATGTTGTCATCCTCAGCAAAGATGCCACCGCCAGGCTGACCTGGAGCTACACAGCCCAGCATGACCACAGCACTGGCAACTCAACTTCAGGGAAGCTACTTGAATCTTCCGGGCCTCATCTGCCTAATTTGAGAATAAGCCTGACAGTATCTGTCTTATGCAGTTAAAGATTAGACATAATGTATATAAAGTATAGGGCACACAACTGACTCTTAGTAAATACAATTGTCATTATAACTTTGAAGGCCACTGCTAAAATGCGATGACCATTGTTTTTCAATAATAATACATTAGTCATTGTGGGTGTCCCTTGTTTATTTAGTTAAATTAACGTTAGTAGCCCAAGAAAAGTGTGAATAGCTCTTCTGTGAAGGATGTCTCATGACCCCAGAGGAGGAGGAAAGAGGCTCAGTGAATCCACCCGAAGCCATGGTGCCCCACTTCCCAATCTCAAGAAGTATGTTCAACCCCAGCGGTGCTAGTTAATATCATGTGCTCAAGCTGGAA